TTCACAATATATATATATATTAATATATATATATATACACACACTACCATATATGCTTAAACAACTTCGTTCTTTTATTTTTATTAAAAAAATTATACTTAATTATTTAATTATTAATTATTATGAATATCTCTTTTGTAGGAGTAAAAAATTATGAAACAAAATTTTTAATTCGATTCAAATTCCCTTCTCCTTAGTTGCTATGTTAAATACCTAGTAAATAAATATCAAAAAAATTATACTGTTTAAATTCTATTAAATCATAATTTAAATTATTAAAAAAATACTTAAGAGTTTTTTATATCTAACTATTTCTTAACTATCTATTTAATAATTAACTATACTAAACTGTTAATTTAAAAAATATTGTATAATTTGTAGTATAGGATAGGATTCTCTAATAAATATTATAAAAAGTGCAATTATTTTAAATGAAGTGCGATATTTCTACAAGTATTATTATAGTAAATGTACCTTATTTTTATATTTAAATTATATTAAATTATAAAATAAAAATTACCTATCAATACATATTTTCCATAAGAAAAATTGGAAAGAAGAAAAAAAAAAATCTAAACAGCCCCACCCTAGGAGAAAGTCTAGCATACAACCCGGATACCGCATCGGATGGTATCCCCATCCAATAACAAAATGACAGCTCATTAAATTTGAACACGTCGTCGTTTAATTCATCATCCAACTTAAAACAGCTTACCATTCGGCAGCAACCGCAATATAAGTTAACGGAGAAATTTTTTGTCCTCTGTAAATTAACTTAATCGTCTCTTCCCTATACTTCCCCGAGTGCTCATCGCTGCGGCAATGACAACCAAAGTTTGCAAGATCCCTTGCTCCCACCAAATTCCATCTTTCTTCTCGTTAATATAAAAAATATGAGTTCTTCAGATTTGTGAATAGTGGGTTCAAGGAGATTTGTGGCTGTGGAAAACTTAGTGGTGCTCAAAAGAAAAAAATTAACTTTTTCAGATTTGAGCAAAAAGGAATCAGATTAAAGTTTTTTGGATTGAAAAAAAATATATTAAAACTTTCTAGTGATTGGATTTTGAAGATAAAGCAACTCGGTGCTTAAATTCGCTTAAATCCTAGATCAATACAAAGCTCCAAGCACTTTGTTCCTGCGTTGTTTATTTTAAAATTATCTTTCTTTTAACTACTGCAGCAGAGGTTAGAGTTTAGTTGAAGACAGAGAAGAAGAACTTCGCTTTTAACATGGTACTAAAAAGAATACGAAATCAAACAACCCTTTGAAGTGTAAAATCCAAAGATAGTTTTCCGGTGACAATATAAGCCAAATCTGAACAACTACTAGTCTTTTATGGCCTAGAAATTCAAAGAAAACCAAGTCAGATCATATGAAAAGCTTCTGCAAGTACATAATTTCTATTATGAATTGCAGCAGAAGTGAAAGGTATGAGAATTCCAGAAAGAAAAAGAAAGATAAAAGATGAGAGAGGAATGAAGGGAAGAGAAAATGTTTGGGACGAAGAAGTTCTCCGTTTCGTATGTTTCCGTTAAACTAGTAACGTGTCATTTAAGGATGGTGCATTATGCACAACTTTATTATACATTTTTTTATATAATTTTTACATAGGGAAAACTGGATCTCAGCCGAGACACTTAATTTTTTGGCGAAATAAATTATCAAAGCGATACCGTTCTAAGTTAACAGTATAAAAATTCCAATTAAGAGTCTTCGACTCAAAATATTAAATTCCAAATTTTCTCGTCTTCAACTATCCCCTGTTTCTACTTTCTAGATCTTTGACAAAACCCTTTCCTTTGATTTGCCCTTGTTCCCTGATGAAAGTATGAAAATGTATATCTAAAGTGTGCTTAACCATAGACATTTGTGGAATTATGGGTTTAAGAGTTATATTTTTCTACAAATAATTTCATAATTGTTCACTCTATTCATGTTGTGCAAAATTTTGGTGATTTAAAGGTTTGATGACTAAATGGAGAGAATTAGAAGAAAAAGGACTTAAATGAAAAGAGCTGAAAAGATGAGGATCTAAGGATAAATCAGAAGTTTAAAGGCTCAAGAGTCAGGGACCAAGACTGTTATTCTGCCATTAAGCAAAATTGCACAAAAGGCCAAAAACCCGAGACGGAGGATGCAGCTGACGCTCCACTCAAAGTGCCGGCACCTTGTGAAGAGTGTCGACCCCTTGCGCAGTAATTCAGCCCAGCCCGACATCCATTCTAATTAGGGTTTTTAGGATTCTATAAATACCCATCCAAATTATTTCAGAGGGGGTTCCAAGGGGCTGGAGAGGCTGCTACCAGATTTCTATTTTCTTCTTCAAGGCTAAAGAATTATGTCAAAGGGCAACTAAACTTTCAACAAGACTAGGGAGGATCTTGATTGAAGAGTTTGACTTGTTATTTTATTTTGATTCCTTCATAGATTTTATTGTTTAATTTTATTTTTGAGAGATTGTTAATTATTTTCAGATCTGA